ACTGACTCAACAGCACTTAACAACAGCTGCATCAGGGTACTGCAAGGATGGAGGGTGACAAGGCTTTAGGGCAGCACTGGGACACGGTAAGTGTTCAGTAAGAAGAAGTCAGATGGTTTGTAGGGAAGGTGAGCTGGCTGGCTGGCTGGTGGTGTTCTAGGCAGCCCCACCCTCTGCCTCCCAGGCTGGGGCCCCACCCTTCCACAGTCTCCATTTCCACTCAGCACTGATCACATTGCCTTGAGATCACAGGCAGTCCCTGGGTCGCAAACATCTGACTGACCGACAACTCCTCCAACCAAACCAAACCAAACTCACTGCTCTCAAGTCGATTCCAACTCATAGCAGCCCTCAGTGGGTTTCCAAGGCTGTAAATCTGTACAGAAGCACAATGCTTCATCTTTCCTCTGTGGTGTGGCTAGTGGGTTTGAACCACTGACCTTCTGGTTAGCAGCCGAATGCCTTAACCATTACACCACCAGAGCTCATGGCGACAACTCCTACTTGCCCTTTAACGTTATGTGAATTTGCCCTCACTTCGAAACGACTGAACCAACACCTACCTACCACACAGTCTTCATCACAATCACCTTCACTTGCTACAAAAAATAAAACCAAACTCACTGCCATGGAGTCGCACCCAACTCATAGCGCCCCCTCCTTGGGTTTCCGAGGAGGTATCACTATGGAAGTAGACTGCCCAATCTTCCTTCGGAGGAAAGGTCTCAAGACTTTTCTTGTATGAAAGTGAGGCTACATAAAAACCATATGCACCTGTACTTTTTTTTTTTTTCTTATTAAAGGATTTTTTTTTAAAATTGTGATTTGGGTGAAAATTTACACAGCAAATTCACTTTCCATACAGCAGTTCACATAAACTTTGTCTCATGACATTGACTACAATTTCCCACAATGCAACAGCTCCCCTCCCACTTCTTCCCCATAGCCACCTCTTCCCTGTGTCTTTCCTTCCATGCACTCCTGCCCGCTGAGCTGTCTCCCTGTGCATACACAGCCCTTCTATTCTCCCATGATTGTTCTCTCCAAGGACTGTATCTACCTCAGGTACATGTTCAACTCCATATGCACCTGTTCTGATTCACCTACAAATCTGACTTTAAAACACACGAACGGGTCTCATTCATAACCTGGGGACTGTCTGCCTGTAACAGTGTCCGTCTGCCAGTGCTCTACAAGGGTGAGGACGTATGTCAATTTTTAAAATTGAGATGTTACTCACATGCCACTCAATTCACTGCTTTAAAGGCTGGGTTTGGTACATTCACAAAATCATGCACTATCTGATCCCAGAGCATTGTCATCATCACCGCGTGCCCATGAGCAAACACTGCCCACACTCGCCCTCCTCCGAGCCCTGGGCAGCCACCAGCCTGCTTCCTGTCCCTGTGGACTTGTCTATTCTGGACGTTTCATACCCATGAAATCATACTCTACAGGCCTTCTGTAACTGGCTTCTTTCACTTAGCATTATGTTTTGAGGTCCACGCATGGTGTAGGATGGTGTGTCAGAACTTCATTCATTTTTATGGATGGGCCACATGCTATTCATTCATTGGGTGATGGACCAAAACCAAACCAAACCCACTGCCATTGAGCCGATTCTGACTCATATTGACCCTACAGGACAGGGGTGAACTGCCCGAGGGTTTCCTACACTGTAAAACTTCATGGAAGCAGACTGCCTCATCTTTCCTCCATGGAGTGGCTGGTGCGTTCAAACTGCTGACCTGTTGGTTAGCAGCCCAATGCTTTACCACAGTGCCACCAGAGCACCACAGGTGATGGACATTGTGGGTTAGTCCCACTTTGGGGCTATTGTGAACACACGTACACACATAGCCCATTCTGGAGTTCAAATGGATGTTCTAATTGTGGTTCAGCTGCTCACTGGGTATATAACCCCAAGAGGCCCCTGCACATCACTGGGCCAGTCTCCTCATTGGGAAAATGGGGATGAGAACACCTGGAGCAGTCAACAAAGACTCGTGTCAAGTGCCACCTGAGGGCCTCTCGCTGCTGTTTTCTTGGATGACTAGGCCCCAGCTGAGGGCAGGGATACAATCTCCAAGGAGTAGTGGGGCAGAGAAGGCCTGTTTAAACCGATAGGGCGTACGTACTCACCTTGCAAGACACTGCAAATGGAGAAATCTGAGCAGGTGAGCTGCTGGGGGTGACATGTGCCCCACTTGTGTGGTGGCTGGCTGGGGAGAAAGGCAGTTACGAGAGGCAATGAATTTTGAGCTGGAAAAATGGATCCTTTCCTGGTAGTGGGGCCCTCTGCTATCACCAGGCAATCGAGATACCCTGTCAAACCTCCAACACCTTCTCAGACTGGGCAGCTCTGGGCGGGGGGCCGTGCCCTTCAGAGTGAAGCTCACAGTTCTGAGGAGGGGGAGGTGGGCGCTGTGAAGACCTGGCTGTGCCTTTCGGAACCACCCAGCAAAGTCAGCCTCTACCACATACGTATAAGCTGTGTGACACTGGGCATGCCATGCAACCCCTCTGTCCTGTTTCCTCAGCTGTGAAACAGCGACAGTTCCCACCACACAGGGTTTGTTGTGGGGATTATTAGACTGCTTCTCTTTGCACATGGGGTCAAACCCGAAATGCTAACCAGATGCCGCCCCGACCTCATTTCCTAGGACTCTGCCCGCGTTCTCCCTGTGGTTTGTGCACGCTTCACTAATTCCTGCCCCACACCCCCACTTAGGACACCTTCCTGCCAGCTGATCCTCAGCGGTTAGATCCCAGTTCAAATGGCCTCTCTGCAAGGCCTCACCTGGCCACCCTGTCAAAAGCAGCCACCTTCAGGTGTGCTCCGTTTTGTCACTCGCTGGTGAAGGGAAACCACTTGACAGTGTACTTGTTTCCCTATTTACCCCGGAACTTGTCTGCTCTTCAAAACACACTTCCACACACTCCCATGCATACCTCAAATATACACCTCACACACTCAGATACACACGTGTGTGCACACCTGGGAGAGTCTCACTGCCTCTGCCTGGCTGGGTGTAGGCTTTACCTGGAGAACAGCCCTACCCCACCCTATAGTGCTGAGGGGGGCCAGAAGGCTCTGCTGGTCAGAGCCTTGGACCAGTTGGGGCAGGTGGCCTGGCACCGGATCCCAGCATGGGAGAGTGTCCCATCTTCCTCCTGGGCCCCTACATCGTCTATGAGAGCAGTGGGTGGACCTCGGAGCTCAACTCAAAGAAAAAAGGACCCAGGGGCTGTGAGATGTGTGACTGTATGTGGGATGTGGGTAGGTATGAAGATGAGTGTGCGACTGTGACTGTATGCGGACCTGCGAGCGTATGAGTGAGGCTGTGAGCACAAGTGTGTGCATACGTGCTTGTGTGGGACGTGCATTACACTGTGAGAGCAGATAAGAGCTGTAAGAACGTGTGTGTACGTATGTGCATGTGTCTGACAATGTGTGTGAGCACCTGAGCGTGCGACGTGAGCTCACACTTACACCTGGGGACTGGGAAGGCAGAGTCATCAGGAACAATGCCCACAAGCACAGAGGAAAGGCCGAATCCCACCGAGTCCCCTCAGAGCACCCCTGTACTGGTTAACTTTGTTGGGCTGACACCGTATTCACCCCTCAGTGCACCTCTGGGGCCTGTGTCCTGATGCAACGTGGTGACAGAAGCACTCCTGTGTCCAAGGCCTGCTGTGGGGATGAAAGGGGCTAATGTGGGCGGCAGACGTCTTAACACAGGCCTCAGGGAACTCCAGTAGAAAGCAGGTACAGTGGGCAGATGTCATCCGTGGTCACCTCCCTGGACCCATCTGTCAGTTTGTCACAATGTGGTAGCTGGTGTGTGGCTGGGATGCTGGAAGCTATGTGCCACTGGTATTCCAAACATTAGCAGCGTCACCATTGGTGGACAGGTTTCAGCTGAGCGTCCTAAGACCAAGAAAATGGCCTGAGGACATACTTCTGAAAACCCGTTGGATCAGAACAGAACACTGTCCCGTATAGTGCGGGAAGATGAGCCCCCTAGGTCGGAAACACTCAACCCACAGCAGCTGCGAGACGCGAGGAAACCAGCGAGGACAGGCAACAGATTTCTCTGTTGTACGTGGGGTCGCTGTGGGCCGGCGCCGATTTGGTGGCTGTGAACAAGAGCTCAGCTTATCTAAGGTAAAGGCTGGAGTCTCGAAGCACGGAGAGCCCTCCTCCCCCCGTCCCCGAGCTACGCTGAGCCGTGGCAAGAACTCTAGGGCCAGGGGTCAGTCCCAGGGCCCTCCTCCCTCGCTCACAGCCTCGGTTCTCCCAACTGAGCAGCGGGGCTGCCATCCAGCTTCCTCACAGGGCTTTGCAGACTTGGGCTCGGGGCGGTGCATGGCGGAAAATGAGGGGAACCCTGAGATTGGGCATCGCGCTGCCGCCAGGCTCCCTGAAGTCTGGGCGCACACGGCGCAGTCCATCTTAAAGCAGAACTTGGTGCAGGGCGTTGACTGCCGGCTGGCCACGCCCCGTCCCAACTGGTCCCACCCACGCCACCGGAACTCAGCCCGGACGGAACAGTCTCCAGGGGACGCCTGCGCAAACGGGCAGAAGGCACCGGGAGGGCTGGGCGGGGAGTCGGGGTACATGCGGAACCCAGGCTCAGACGCACGCAACCGGAGCGTGTATAGCGGTGGGAGGGAGCGAGGCCGGGCGCCCAGGGCCCGTGGCCGCCTCCTTCCGGCAGCTCTGGGCAGGCGGGGTCCCGGTCCCTACCTCTCCACGTCCGGTGTTGGTGTGACTCAGTCTACCTGTCAAGTGGGGCGCTTAACGCCCGCCTCGCGGATGGGGACACTGTGAGGCAGATACTGTGAGAAGGCCGCGTGCTCTGGCTCGGCCTGGGAGCACCCTTCCCCAGCGCAGACCGTTTTCTGAGGACTCTTAAGTTCTTCCCTGTGCTTAGGAATTTAAAACGGGCCCTCGACCGCCGGGAGAGTGGGGCGCGCCCGGAAGTGCCCCCACGGAAGCTGGTCGGGCGGCGCGCGGCGCTTCCCCATGGCCGCGGCGGGGGCCCCGCGGCGCTTCTGTCGCTGCGCCTGCTTCTGCTCCGAGAATTTGTACGTGGCGCGCTACGGGCTACACGTGCGCTTCCGGGGCGAGCAGCAGCTGCTCCGGGACTACGGCCCGGTGAGTGGCCGCTCCCGTCCCTCAGGGGACAGGGGAAAAGGGCGCGGGCAGACCGGCGGAGGAGGGTAGTTGACTCGCCCACCCGCGTGCTCAGATCTAACGTGCATTTCGTAAGCTCCCGGAGCCTCGAGGCTTCACCCAGACGGGTGCTGTCTCCCTCCTGAGGTGGTTGTGGCTGAATGAATAATATGTGAGTGAAGCTTGGCCCAGAGCCTGGCGCGGAGCGTGGTCACCTAGAGCAGCCTGCAGCCCTGCTCTGGGAGGGCTGAACGAGGGTTATCTCAGTTCATCCGCAGGACCCTGTAAAGTCGGGGCTCGCTCTCACTATCCCCGTTTTAAGGGAAGGAAACTAAATCCTCTCGTCCCATACTGACTGGCCTCTCTGCACCCAGATCCTGCGCAGCCGAGGCTGTGTCAGCCCCAAGGACTTCCAGCAGCTGTTAGCAGAGGTAACGCCCCCACTCCCACCCCCGACACACCCACCCTGACCCTTCCTTTTTAGATTTGGGTCAGCACTTTGAGGGTCCCCAGGCTGGGGTTTCTGCGTCCCTGATCCCGGAAGGCCTCTTTAGACCCTTTTCCGCCCCCTACTGGTGGCCCCGTGGTTAAGCAGCAGCTGCTGTCCCAAAGGCTGGCAGTTCAAACCCACCCAGAAGCTCCGTGGGGGGGGCACAGCCTGATGAACTGCTCCCGCGTGATTGTGGCCACCCAGTCATTCCGACTCAACACCCTGTATGACAGAATAAAACCGCCCCGTCGGGTTTCCAAGAGTGAAATCTTTATAGAAGCAGTCTGCCTCATCTTTCTCCCGTGGACTGCTAGGTCTCAACCCTCAACCTTTGAGAAGCGAAGGGCTTAGCCCTGTGCCCCAGGGCTCCTCCTGTAAAGACGACCGCCTCGGACACCCCGTGGGGCAGCTTTGCTCTGTCAGATGGGGTCTTCAGGAGTGGGAATCAGCTCAGTGGCACCGGACACGCACCCCGGACACCTCTCCTCCTCCACGGTGCTGGCACGAGAAAACAGGAAATGCCACGTTGTCCATGTCAGGCCCATCACCTTGTTAACAGCTCTGGGGACAGGTGCCAGCATCACTGCCATTTGGGAGGAACTGAAGCTCAGAGGGGGGATGTCACTTGGCCCAGGCTCCGCGGCACATAAAGCTGAGATCCCAACCAGGCTGCTGGGCTCCCGGGCCCTTCACACCTGCCCCTGCCCTTAGGTTGGTGCTGGGCTGCAGCTGTTCCTCCCCCACCCCCCAGCTCTGGTGGCAAGCTTCCTAGGAGGCCCTCTGTGGCCTCAGGGACTTGGCCAGGCCTCTCCTCCCCTCCCTGAGCTGGCCCAGGGCGCTCAATCGCTGGCCACACTCAGGCGGGTGCAGCCCCGCCTGGGACGTCCCCACTTGGCCAACAACTCGGTACCTGTGCTCAGCCCTGTAAATACAGGAGTAGGGGAGACTCACGCTGGTGGCCCTAGGCCTCGATATCCTCATCTGCTCGAATGGCTTTGGTCGGTGGAGGCTCTGTCCAGGTGACAGGACCCTGTGCCCCCGCAGCTCGAGCAGGAGGTGGAGCGGCGGCGGCGGCTGGGGCAGGAGTCGGCCGCCAGGAAGGCCCTCATTGCAAGCTCGTACCGCCCGGCGCGGCCTGACGTCTACACCTTGCTGCAGGTACCAGGCAGGAAGCTCGGGTGGGCTGCTGGAAGGAGGCGGCGGCACTCAGGCTAGGGAACGGCCTGCCCCACAGCTGTTACATTCTGCCCCCAGGATGCGGCTCTGGCCCCTGAGTTCCTGGCCGCTGCGGAGTACAGCACATCCCCGGGCGCACACCTGGAGGGCCTTCTCCGGCAGGTGGAGACGCTGTCGGGTGAGGTGGTGCCTTAGCCCCGCGGCCCAACGGGGTTGGGGGCAGCCGCTTGTGACATCAGGGTGTAGGAGACGGGTCCCTCCACCCAGCATCTCTGCCCCCTAAAAGTCAACCAGCCGGAGCTGGTGGGTCGGCGCTCCCGGCGTGGGTGACAGTGTGCGTGCACTTACTGACAATCCAGGAGTGAGCAGTGCCTCGTGGTGGGCATGAGACAGCTGCGCCTTCACTTGGAGAGGAGACACGAGTGGGCAGGCTGAGGGATCGAAGACCCCGGCCCACCCTACCCCCAGCTCACCAGAACTAGAAAGTTAACTTCCCTGCCTCGGTTTCCTCTTGAGAATGATAGTAATAACGGCCAGGCCTGAAGATGCAGTGATGGTTAACTGCTTTAATATATGGCAAGGACACGGCACAGCCCAGGGCCTTCACAGGAAACGTTCAGCAAGTGTTGGCGGTGCTTACTAATGCTGCTATTGTCCGTCTAGGGGATGCCGTGGGGAGGATGCTTTATTGAGAGGCTTGGGGTGGAGTGAAACATCCTCCCAGCCTGGGGTACCCCTTCCTCACCTCCACAGCCTGAGTGGAGGGGTCACTGTAACACCCCAAGAGATGTCTGAATTGCCATTCTTGGCCTGGCCTCCCCACCAGGCCCACCAGGAAAGGGCAGCCCCTCCCCAGCCTTCCTGGGTGGGACAGAGGCCTCAAGGGATGTTTCTGAATTGGGGGGCAGACATAGGTGGCTTGTCAGCAGCACTGGGTACAGAGAGCCTGGACTCTGCTGGGCCCTGCTTGGCTCCATCGCTGACTTCTGCATGGCCCTGGGTTGGTCCTTTCCACTCCCTGAGCCTGGGACTTACATCCGAGCTCTGCTGCTATCAGGTCAGCAGGCTGGGCCCATGGGCCCCCCTGGGCAGAGGTGCAGCCCCAGGGATGAATCAGGGACACAGTGCAGGCCCCTGACCACAGAGGCCTGGGTTCAAACTGAGTGCTGCAAAAACGTTCCGTCACTTAATCTCAGCGTGGCTCTCACAGGGAGGGCCCTCACTGTCCCCAGTGTGCAGACGAGGAAAGTGAAGCTCGCAAAGTGAACAGGCCCAGGCTCACCCAGCTCAGGGGGGGACCGAAATGCAGGCCTGCCCAGCCCCACACCAGAGCGCCCAATCTCCCTGCCCTCCCCCCACAGAGAAGAAGAGGATCTACCGGGTACCGGTGTTCACGGCAGCCTTCTGCCAGGCCCTGCTGGCAGAGCTGGAACACTTCGAGCAGTCAGACCTGCCCAAGGGACGACCCAACACCATGAACAACCATGGGGTGCGTGAGGCCACTGGCAAGTGTGGGGTCTGCATACTGCAAACTGGCCGTGGGACCCTCTCTGTCCGTGGTGTCCCATCTGTGAAAATGTAAGGGCAGGGTTAGTGGGATATTGCCCAAGCAGATGTGTGTGCTCAGCACTGTCCTTAGGACGTATTAAGAGACTCCTCGGTCATGCAGGGTGAAGCCCCCAGCCTCCATCCTCTATCCCAGCCACCTCCTGCCCACCAGGTGCTGCTCCACGAGCTAGGCCTGGATGAGCTGCTGGTGACGCCACTGCGGGAGCGCTTCTTGCAGCCGTTGATGGCCCTGCTGTACCCAGAGTACAGTGTGGGCCCGCTGGACAGCCACCGCGCCTTTGTGGTCAAGTATGCACCAGGCCAGGACCGTGAGCTGGGCTGCCACTATGATAACGCTGAGCTCACCCTCAACGTGGCCCTGGGCAAGACCTTCACAGGGGGTGCCCTGTACTTTGGGGGCCTCTTCCAGGTGAGAGGGTGTGGCCACAGGGCAGGGCCTGGGTTGCTGTGCTGACACCCAGGCCTGAGTCCCACTGTGTGCAGGTGCCGGGAGCCCTGACGGATACCCTGGAGGTGGAGCACGTGGTGGGCCAGGGCATCCTGCACCGCGGCGGCCAGCTGCACGGGGCCCGGCCCCTGGGCACCGGCGAGCGATGGAACCTCGTTGTCTGGCTCCGGGGCTCTGCTGTGCGCAACCGCCTCTGCCCCATGTGCTGCCGCGAGCCCGACCTGGTGGATGACGACGGCTTCGGTGATGGCTTCACCCGTGAGGAGCCCGCTACAGTGGATGTGTGCGTGCTGACTTGAGCCTGGTTTGGCCCAGTGAGCAGGCGGCTGTGCACCTCACAGTGGCCCTGGCTCCTTGGGTCGGGAGGAACAGAAATAAACTCCCTGCAGCCTATGGCACTTCTTGGTTTCACAGGACATACAGGCTTCGGGTCATACTTTCTGCAGACGGGGTCTTAGAGGTGAAGCTGGGATGGAGAGCGTTTCCTGAGGGAGAGGGGGGTGGGGGAAGGCAGCAGGTGAGGATGTGATTCCATTCGGTGTGGCCTCAGCCTGATCCCATGGGAAGCTCTGGGGCAAGGGGACCTCTCTGTCCTCCCAATATCAGTTATTAACTGTGGGGTGTGTGTGTGCGGGGAAGTTAGTAAACTTCCATTCATCTATGTCCAGGGCCAGATGGCTCCCAGTGGCCAAGGGACATCTCCAGAAAAGAGTACAAATAGGAGCCACTGGCAGGGACACCACAGCTGGGGTATGGCCTTGTGTGCTGCCATTTGTAAGGGGACGTGGGCAGACGTCACCAGCATTTTCCAGATGGATGCTGAGGGCTCACACTGCAGAGCAGGGCCTGCCCCTTGCAGCTGTGTGACTGTGGGTAAGCCACCTAACCTTTCTGTGCCTCAGCTTCTTCCTCTAGACAGTACTTACCTCCTAGAGAGTCAAATTCCTCAGAAGGAAGGTTGGGCAATCCTACTTCCGTAGTGATAACTGCCTCGGAAACCCAAGGAGGGGTCGCTATGAGTCGGGGCCGACTCGATGGCAAATAACAACAACAACAACAGAGAGTCAAATGGGTTACCATTTGTAAACCACTTTATAGCAGCCCGCGATGTTTGCTGCTATCATTACTGAAGAGTTTGCAACTTGGTAGTTCCAACAGTGGATGAGGCCCACAAGCTGTGTTCCTGTAAACATCCTGAGTTCTGGCTTCCCTGGGAACGCTGGAGGAGCTGGAGATACCGGCCTGCGCTGCAGAAATCAGCAGGATCCTCGTCTCAGCTGCCCTGAGAGCCATTCTTTGACAGGGGTGTCTCCCTTGTTCAATGTCACAATCTTGCTGGCCCTTTATAACCCCTGTATCAGAGGATGGAGACTTGGTGGCACAGTGGTTGCATGCTCAGCTGCTAACCAAAAGGTCAGCAGTTTGAACCCACCAGCTGCTCCACAGGAGAAAGATGTGGCAGTCTTACCCTGTAAAGACATCCAGCCTTGGAAACCCTATGGGGCAGTTCTACCCTGGCTGACAGGGTTGCTATGAGTTGGAATCAACTCAGAGGCAGGAGGTTTGGGGAATTACAGGAGGTAGGGTGGAGACACAGGAAAGACAAAGACGACCTAACCTTGGAGCAGGCAGTTTGATGGGGTGGACACTATCAGATTTACCTATAAGCAAGTAAATGCTGGTTTACTTGTGTTTCCGTACTAATCTATAGTGAATGATTCCACATTTTTCACCACATCAAGAGTTTCTGCCTCTAGGTATGATTGGTATCTGTCTCTCTCTTAAACCCATAGCACCTTTGTACAGTATCAAAACCTCTTCAGATTTACAATCCCTGACAGGGACGGAATACCCAGTAACCAAGGTAAGCACAGGCTTACTCGTGCTTGCTAACCTGTAATGAAAAGTTTCAAATTGTTCACTACGGATTACTCCATAAACACAAGCAAGGCCGTGCGCACCTTGCTTACTGGGTAATCCGGCCCCGGGTGGACAGGTTTGCAGACGACCCAGGAAGCAAAGCGCAGCGCTGTAGGGTTGCGTCCCTGGGGCATCGAGAAGACGGGCTGCTCATGGTGCACGACGAAGAGGGGGTCCAGCGAAGGCACAGACAGGTGTGAAAGGGTGTGAGAGCTCGGGACTGGCGCCAGGCCGGAGAACGCGGCCTCTTCTCCGCGGGAAGCTTCGCGAGCGGGCACGGCCTCGCAGCGCTGGAGGCGGGAGCCTGGCTCCTCTTCTGAGCGGGAAGTGGCCGCGCCAGGCTAGTTTCTCGGGCTGCTCCAGAGGCGGAACCTGGAGGCTCAGAACTAAAGGCATCACGGCTTCGCTTCCCCGCCGGACCTCCTCCTTTTAGGACCACCTTCCGGTGCACTGCCCTCTGCCGGAAACGACCTTGCCGCCGCTTCCTCACAGGAAGGCGGGGTGCGGGCTGGCTGTCCAGCCTGACGGGCAGTTCAGTTGGTAAAGGAGCGGCCCTAGGAACTCTCTCCAAGGCGGCGAGGCTACAGAAAGTGCGGGGTGGAGGGTAGGAGCGCGCGGGACAGGACTATAAACACTCCTCACCTCGCGCTGATGGTCGCCTCCGGTTCCCAGGGTGCCCAGCCGAGTGCGCAGACGCGGCGTGGCGCTTCAAATGGGGGCGGGTCCTTAAAGCGTCCGCAGCGGAGTGGGGGGGAGGGTCGTAAGGCGGGCGAAGCCCTCGGGATCTCCAAGGGCAGAATGGGTGGCGATCGTGCGGTTCCCGCGACCCCCTTCCAGGGGCGGTGAAAAGTGCTGGGCGCCCCGAGTTGAGCAGCCCTCGGAGCCTCAGGTTACGCGCGTTCCTCCGCATCTCCAGCCCGAGGCGCTATGGCTCACGTGGGCTCTCGCAAGCGTTCGAGGAGTCGCAGCCGATCCCAGGGGCGAGGGGCGGAAAAGAGGAGGAAGAAGAGCAGTAAGGACGCTCCGAGGAGCTGCTCGACCTCTAGATCCCAAGGCCGCAAGGCCAGCACCGCCTCCGGGGCCGAGGGTGAGGACCCGAGGGGCCGGAAGCGGCTTGCAGTCTCTTCACCGGAGGGAACTGCAGGCAGCCGGGCCGGCTTCCTGGATGGAAGTCGCTGTGGGGAGTGGCTGTCAGTGAAGAATGTGGATTGAAGCGAGTCGGTAACCAGGCCTGTGCGCCTGGACCCGCGGTGTGGGTGTTGGCCACCCTGCTTTTGCGCAGACGGTGACCACCCGCAGCCCAGGAGGTGTCTCTCTAGGAAGCGCTGATCCCTGCTCTGGAAAGCCCTGCCAGGGGGGTGTCAGCCCTGGGTGGCTGGCCAGAGCCGGGGGACGAAGGTTTACTTCTTCCCCTCGGGACCCTCCAGCCTCACCTTCTCCCTGCATCACAGAGAGAAGCAGGCCCAAGGCCCGGAGGAGACCGCGATCCAGCCCCTCCTCCTCTTCTTCCGGTTCTTCTAGCTCCTCTTCTTCCTCTTCGTCCTCCTCCTCTTCCTCCAGCGATGGCCCGAAGAAGCGGCGGAAGCACAAGGACAAGAAGAGGAAGAGGAAGAAGAAGAAGAAGAAGAAGAAGCTGAAGAAGAAGGAAAAAGAGAAGCCCAAGGTGCAGCAGGCTGAGGCCCTGCCCGGGCCCTCGCTGGACCAGTGGCACCGAGCAGCCGTGGAGGAAGAGGATGGCCCAGGTACGGTGCCCTCTGGTGTCAGGGAGGGGCCCCTCCCTGAGGCCTGCCCACCACCTCCCAGCATCTCCCCTTCCAGTCCTGACGGATGAGCAGAAGTCCCGCATCCAGGCCATGAAGCCCATGACCAAGGAAGAGTGGGATGCCCGGCAGAGCATCATCCGCAAGGTGGTGGACCCTGAGACGGGACGCACCAGGTGGGGATTGCCGGGTGCATCCCAGCCCCAGCCCTCGCCCCCTAGCACCAGGAGCGTTGGCCCAAGATTTTGTCCTTCAGGAGGAGGGCCTGTGGCTGCTGTTCCCCCAAAAAAACCGAAAGTAGTCACTTGTTGATCGAGTATCTAGGTGTGCCCTCCCCATTGCCTAGAGAAGGCAGCTTTTAAAAGAGCTGTTGTCGGCCAGACTGCTGGTAGACGCTGGTCGGGCAGAGCTGCCCCCTGCTGCCTCCGTCTTCCTCCCAAGGGTAGGAGAGGGCTGGGGATGCCCAGGCCCCACTTGCTCAAGGTGATGGGAGCTTGGTCCCAGCGACCCTTCTGCTGCCCTGGCATTCCAGGCTTAGGGACCTCTGCTGAGGGCACCCCCACTCTTTCCCACCCCCAGGCTCATTAAGGGAGATGGTGAGGTCTTGGAAGAAATCGTAACCAAAGAGCGACACAGAGAGATCAACAAGGTGGGTACCAGCCCATCACCTGTGAGCCACCTCAGCTCCCAGCTGAGCACCGTCTCACGTCCTTCCGCTTGTGTGCTTCTTCCCAGCAAGCCACCCGCGGGGACGGCCTGGCCTTCCAGATGCGAGCTGGGCTGCTGCCATGAGGGCCCGGCCAAGGTCTGTACCGGTGGCAGGTCCTAGAGGGCACCTTCTGACTTTCCTTCTGGGGCGGGCCTCTGGCCCGGCCCAGCCTCCTCTCAGGTGCAGGGGTCACTGGCCAAATTAACATTGCCCCCACATCCCCTGAAAGAATTCTAGTTCCAGATATTAAATTCGCCTTGCTTGTGGACTTCCTGGTCTGTTGCTTTCTGTACTAAGGGGAAGGCGGGAGAGGGTTGCTACTTCACTTCAGGGAAAACCCAAGGGCTCCAGGAGTTTGGGGAGAGCTGGGGTGCCCCCTGGTGGTGGTGAGCCATAAGCACAGGCCCAGGTGATTCCCAAAGACAGGGACGGCTCAGGCTGGAGTAACGCTGTTTTCCCTGCTGTGTGTGTTCTGTAGTGATAACCATCAAGAGCCCAGGCACTGCAGCCAGGCAGCTTGGAATCCTGGCCCCACTTACTAGCTCTCGTCCCACTGGGTTGCTGTGAGGCTGACCAAGTTAATGTGTGGAGGTAGAAGAGGTTCGGGCCCAGAACAAGCCTCGGGCGCGTGTATTGGTGTTATCGTGAGCACAGCTGGTATCAGTTACTCTGGACAGGCCGTAGCTCCATCCCTGTGGCTCATCCCCATGCCCTGTGGCTGCCGCTCAGTAAAGAGACCCAGAAGGAAGCCTTCCTGCTTCTTTAATCGGTGTAACAGACAATGACACTACACAGAGCACACGCAGGCCCAATGGTGCAAGAACAGCAAGGGTGGGCAGGGCGAGGCAGGACACGGCTCCCACACTGGCCCAGAGATACAGACGGCACAGGGACAGACGGGAGGGGTGGAGATGTGAAGACAAGCCAGGAGGGGTGGGCAGGGGCCTCTGCTGAGTCGCTCTTGAGAAGTCAAGAAGGTGGGGGTGGGGTGGGGTGGGGGAAGGCTCCTACTCTAGCAGGGCCGGATGGCGGTCAGCAGAGGCCCGCCTCACCCTTTGGTTATGACTGGGTCAGGCCTGAGCATGGCTGCTCAGCACCCACCACTGTAAACATTTTTGGTATTTGTAGAGGACTTTGCCCTCCCTCTCTTGGTTTCTGAAAGAACAGGTGCTTCCTCCAGAGGAGGAAGTGCCTCAGGGGATGGTGCGGGGTGGGAAGCAGGCCTGGATCCAGAAGAGAAGGGCAACGGGGTGCCGCCCATCTCTGCAGGCCGGTGGGACAGGCCCAGGGGACTATTGCTGTTGTCCTTGGCATGGCTGGCAGGCAGGTGGGCAGGCAGGCAAGACCAGGAGCCGCATGGGAAGGGCACTGCCCCTACGGTGAGGCCAAGCCCCTGACCACCGACCTCCCTGAGCCTGGAGGCCTCCAGGCCTTTATTGCAGGCAGCCCCAAGACTCTCTTCCAGCTGCTTCTCCAGATGGCTGGTCACCTAGGTGGGAGGCAAGATGGGGTGACGAGGGACCGTTGAGGAGGCACTGGCCACGGGGGTCCCCTCGTGGGGGCTGTGATTGTCGGGCCGAGCTGGGTCCCACTGGGGAGCAGAGGGGAGTCAGATATTGCACTTTTGCTGCAACAATTAACATGAAAACTTGGTCCATAAAAGAATTGTTGCTTTATACATGACGCCCGAACGACAATAAGCTACATCTTAAATATGAATAAACCCTGAAAGTGCCATCCCTCCAGACATTTTTCTCTGCACAAAATAAATAGCTTTCACTCTGTAGAGACCCACCGTGGCATTACACTTAGACCCGCCCCCGGCTGTACATATCTACACACGGAAAAAGGGGACTCCATCTGCGCGCCTCCCGGCTCAGCCCGCAGCCCCACTGGAGACAGCGGCTCAGGAACCGAGCCTGGCCGCTGGGCAGCAGCCCGAGACCGGCGCCTCCGCACCTGGGCGCGGGCGGAGGCAGGGGCGCAGGTGGAGAAGCAGAGGGCGGCCGGGGAGGAGGGCGGAGGCTCAGGCGAGCGAGCAGAGCAGAGCTCTCCAGGCGGGAGATGGCTCGCCTGCCGCCCTCGGGAAGCGAGTTGTGGCTTGTTAAATTCGGCATCAAAACGGAATCGGCATTAAAAAAACCTAAGAGTGTGTCCCCCTCCCCAACCCGAGTAGAAATTCAGTGGGATTCACGGGGGTCGGGGAGGCCGGGAGCCCTGCCCTCGCGTGCAGGGCGGGGCTCACCGGGCTGGGGACCCCAACCGGGCGGGACTCCGTCACAGTGTTGGGTGTTTTCACGTGGAGGGGCTGCGCTCGGTACGGAAAGAGTTAAGAAAAGGAAGCAGCCAAGGTTTGCTCGTTTAAAAAAAACCTCATAGAAATCAGATCTGAGAAGTAGAAAGGCTTAGAAACGCAGGCAGCGTCGGGCGTGGGGCCTTGGCGGACGGCGGGCGCTGGGACGGCGGGCGCTCGGGCTCCGGCCCTTGCGGGCCTGCGGGCGGTCTGACGACGGGCTGCGGAACCCAGGACCGGGCCTGCTGCCTGCTGCGCCGCGCCCTGCGCCCTGCAGCCTCCCAGGGCCCAGGCCTGCATCACCAACTCTGCGGTTCATGCACATCCATGCGTCTGCGCCCTGGGAGACGCCCGGCTCTCCGCGCGCCCAAGTCAGTGCGAAACCAGTGAGGTCGGCCTGTTGCGTAACTCGAGGGAACAGGGCGCGGCGGGACCCCGCGGGCGCTCAAGGTCGCTGCAGGGCGCGTGTCTCTGTGGCCGAACTGGGCCCATCCTATGCCAGGGCCTGACGCATGGCGGGGAGGCCCGTGGGCGCGCGGCCAGCGTCCCCGGGGCCAGGACAGGCCCCCAGGCTGCCTTCTCCAGCGAGTGCCGTGCGCCCAGCTGGGCCTCCTGGCTGGGCGGCGCCGGGCCCTAGCACCATGGAGCCCACGCGGCTCGCGGACGCCCTA